CCACCACACCCAGCTAAGTGTTGTATTTTTAGTAGAGACAGGGTTTCACCATGTTGGCCAGGCTGGTCTTGAATTGCTGACCTCAGGTGATCCACCTGCCTCAGCCTCCCAAAGGGCTGGGATTACAGGTGTGAACCACCATGCCTGGCCTAGAACATATTTATTTTCAATGCAAAATCTGTCTTTGTGAATGGATAATAGGGATGTATTTTTTTAAATTGCTACCAATCCCAAGGAGCAAGGAGAATGGATACTTTGATTTTTCTGCAGGGAAGCTGACTTGGCCTGGCTTGTTTTGGATGGTGAGTGCCGTGAATGGGCGTGACACAGTACTCGTAGCTCACCTGTTTCCTAAAACGTTTAGGTTTTGCCCTCTAGGAAATGGGACTATCTCTGTGCATTCTGAAGAAAGCCACGTGACAGTGGTTTCTGATGGTGGTGGGAGCGTGTTCCGGGCGAGCCCACAGCTTCAGGCAGTGGCTGACTTAGGAGCCAGGAGTGGGTCTGTTGGGTGCTGCCCTCTCATCCCAGGGTGTCAGTGGGCTGGCTCTTTATGCCCAGTCAGGAGAGCCTAGGAGGCTGACCCAGGCACAGGTGGCAGCATTTCCTAGAGAGAATGCTCTGGAACGCTCCTCAGACCAGTACGCCCAGGACAGCCTGAGGAGCCCGGATTTCTGTAGCACCTTGTCATCTGGTGCAGAGTCCCTGTCACCTGGGGGGCCTGGACATACAGAGGCAGGACACCTCAGCAAGGCCTGTGACTTCTGCCTGAACCAGCAGCCTGCCTCCGGAGGTTACAGCCCCTGCTCTTGAGAAAATGTTGCCCATGGATAGCGTGGCAGTGGACTGTGCCCACAGGACTGTGCCCAAACCAGGGCCTCAGCCTGGCCCACACAGATCACTGTTGACTGAAGGGCATCTCCAAAGCCTTTCAGGGGACTTGAACCAGTTCTCCTGTGGGAGGGAAGTGCACTCTGGCCAGAGAGAACTGGAGAGCATGGTTGCCGTCTGCGAAGCCCTGGCTTTTGAAATTTTCAATGGGAGCCGTGAGTTATTGTCTCAGGGACAGGAGCAGATTTTTATTCAGACTTCCAATGGGCTTATCTTGTCCCCTCCAGGTACAGTAGTGTCTCCGGAGGAAGATGTTGTCATAGTGACCAATGCAGAGGGGCGTGGCCTGCAGATGGGCCCGTCAGAAGGAGTTCCTCTAGAAGCTGTGGAGTCGCTCCTCACGGTGGAGGCAGAGCCCTCACAGTGAAGGGGAGTCAGATCCTAGATTTGTCTGATTTATCCAGAGAAAGTCTATGGCAAGCAATGTGTATTTTTCTAATGTGAATACTGCACAGATGAACCTTTTATTTATAAAGAGTATGCCTTTCTACCCTGTTGTCTACATTTTTCTATGGAGCTCACTATAATAATGGCAGATGTTACCTGATCAGGAATCCCTGTGGCGTCTCTTGACACTCACGAGTTTTTCATGATGGTGACGAGTAACACTGCACTGTGACCTGATGATCCGCCCTGCCCCCTGATTCTGGGAAATGATGTTCCCTTCTCTCCTGGTGATACGCTGCTTTTCCACCAGACTTGGTCCATACTAGATGCTTCTTTTGGGTTCAATTAAAAAGAAAAGCTAGTCATTCTGGGCAGCATTTTATTGAGAAGCAAGGGAAAAAAGTAATTTCTACTTGCATGATTTTTTTTTTTTTTTTGAGACAGAATCTTGCTCTGTCACC